TTAACTGTCATTACATATTCATAAACATTGAATGAGGCATGACCTCCTAGAGCAAGAAATTTTATCACTGAGTGATGCTCAAAATTTTTGATTTTCTGTCAGTGTATAAACAGTGGTCTAAAATGTGTTTTCATATTTTCGTATGTATGCATAATTCAACTGAGCTCATGATGCTTATAGATAGAGGACTGTATGAACTATGTGCAGACAATAATACAAATACAGCAGTGCTTCTTATTGTTTTTAAATAAAATCATTCCGGGAACTTTTAGAACAGCTCACGTATATTAATATATTGTATTAAATGTATTTAATACGACTTTATCTAAAAACGATTGTTTAAATGAAAGGTTTTGTATTCATTATAAAAAGTTTAAAAATAAAATAAAACTTATTTTAGTAGTTTTTGTTTTTTTTCTTTTTTTAATTATTTTACGTATGTTTTATATTTTACTAGAATTAATAATTAAAAAAAAATTTCAGACAAAGTTACGAAAAAAAATGCTGAGTAAATAATAAAAGGAAACTAGCTACTGTAGAGAATGAAGACAAAAAACTAACTACTGGATATTGTTTATCGATATTGATGATGGTTGATAACACCGTCTCATTTGTAAGGATGTGCGATTGTGTTTGTGTCCTAATTCCTACAAAGAAAGTAAAGTTATTAGTGCAATTCTTGCGGAATTAAAATAACACATTTCTCTATTCTCCTTTTAATTCTTTAGAAATATACTAACGAATTAGTTCATATATTATACCGAGATGTTATTGATAGGCAATCTGTAGTCGTATATCAATGACGTCTGCCACGGTATATGATGTTCTCTGACTAGCGTCGACCACTCTCTGTGGAGAGGAGAAAATCGAAATCTTGCCTCTATACTTCAACACCCCTTTTCGATCGTGTTTCATAAAAGCATTGAATTAATTCAAGATCATATAATACTGAAAACGATAAAAAAAAACTCTTAAAAGAATATATGTATGATGGAATAAAATATCAGAGCATTCTCTCGGTGGGTTATCATAAACACTCAATATCGATACAACATACTTCTTTTTAATATTCTATTCAAATATGCTTCTCAATTGAAAGAAACGTTGTGGGATCATCTATAAAGGTCATCCAATAGAACGGCAGTTTTTTCTGAACTAGCTATTTCCACTTGTATGTTTTTTTCATATTTTTGTTTGTCTAGTTGCAAGATTTTCTCAATGAAGAAATGTAAAACTTACTTTATACTACTGATTTATTAGACATCTTCGCTTAAAATAAATGTCACAAAGCCGAGAAAAACTAAACACATATGATAAGATAAGCTTTGTATGAAGAACAGATATATGAGCATAAAGCTTCACCTCAATCAAAAATGCATCAGTTGACGACGGAAAGTAATATGCGCAGATAGATAGAGAGAAAAATAATCCGGTTCCAATTATTTGTCATCAAGATATAGACTCAAATTTTGGAGCCATCTACTCTGTGTACTCTATTTGTCAATCTATGATGGATTCATCTATTACCATATGTACGTACCATAGAAGACTGCACGAAAACTTTCTTTTTCATTTTTATTAAACTAATAGATGACCTACAAGTAATGGTCCTTTTTAGTACTTTGTTTATCACTGTTTTTCTTTTCAAACTTTAAGCCGATTTGTTTTTCTAAAAGATGCACCATCAAATTCTCGACAAAAGTCAAGCTGAACCAATTTTAAAGCAAGCGAATAATAAAGTTAAATGAAAGCATATTCAACACGTATTCTCTGATTAATGTTCTAAGCTGTTTTACTCTATAAAGCCGAGATTTTTTTCAACAGTTCTATAAACAATAAAAAATGAAAATATTTTGAATGCTTGGAGGTTTACTCTTTCTCATTGTGGCATCTACAGGTGTTTTGAATGGAAATTGGCCATTGAAACATTAAACTTTCTAAAAAAACTCAAGTCAAAATACTCAAAAAAATGTGATTTTTCGTCAAGTAAATTTAGGATGTAGCGTCTAGCTTAGCGTCCTAAGAGAAAACAGCGAACTCCATCGGACTCTACTCTTATGGAGTCCACTGGAGTTCCTAGAAGTTTCTTGAAGTCATGTGGAATCTTTTGCAGTTTCATGGAGTCTCACGCAGTTACATGAAGTATATCTTGATTCTTCAAAAAAAAACTCGTTTTTTCTTAGTAGTTTTACATCTAATAGTAAGGCATTTTGTTGATTTGGATCATCTGTGGGTAGACATTAACTGCTTTTGTTGTTTACGGTCGTTTATAACCTCGGTGCTGAAGTTATGCGACGGCCAATAAATAGTCTATACAAAAAACTAAAAAAAATCGTTCTAGAAATACGATAGATTTTTTTAATTCTTTTCTAGTGATCTTAAATCATCATACAACCTGCAACGAAAAAGTATTTACATAAGAAAATATTCATTGGTCGAGAAAGTATAGTCTATGAAAAATATAACAATATGTTCAAACATGAGAGAATATTGAGTATAAAACTGCTACGAATATCATTTTTAAGGATTTTTATCAAAAATCACAATTTATTTATTCGAGCTTTCAACAAGTTACACTTGTCATCAACAGGAATAACAAAAAGAAAGAAAAAAACTGTTATATATACAATTGAATGAAACAAGAGATAAAACAGTTAATTGATAACTAATTATAGGGTATGGGTGTGGGGTGTGGCTGTGTGGGTGTGTGACTATGGGGTGTGGGGGTGTGGCTGGTGCTGTGAGTGGGTGGGTGTGGAGTGCGGGTGTGGGGGTGTGACTGTGGGGTGTGGGGGTGTGGCTGGTGCTGTGAGTGGGTGGGTGTGGAGTGCGGGTGTGGGCGTGGATGTCAACTGTTCCACGCGCACCCACACCTATACTTTCCCACACACACACCCACACCCACACCCACCCCCACCCACACCCTCAACATATGATCAAGATTTATTAATAATTTTTGCACCACTAAATAAAGCATCTTTTACACTCTAAACGGTAATATTTACTCGTCTATATCTCCTATTTTGAGACTGATGTGAGTCTACTATGAATACCCATCATATACGAGATATCTTCAACCCATAGCAGCGATAGTACAAAATACCGAATACGCTCTAAGAAGTACAAGGAGATATTTCTTAGTTACTATTTAGCAAATAGCTAAAATCTTATTCAGAGGCATATCTCTAAACGGAAAATGTAAAAATACACGCCCATTCATATCAAAGCATTTCCCAGCAATCATATAACAAACAACGGATAACTAGTCAATAATTTCAACTTGAATAAATATTTTAACCTTCGTCACCATGAAAAAAACATGAGTACCTTCACTATACACACGTTTTGACTCGCTAACGAATGCTGTATTTTTCTTGAATTGACGAATTTTGTAAGAACGGGAAATGTTAACCAACATTATTGTTTAGCAAAATTCCATCATGACCATTGAGAATTCAGTTTTTTCCACGACACCAAAGTATGTTCTATCTATCGGTTTAGGTCTAGAAGATATACAATGAAATCTTCTCTCGAATGATATATCCTGCATTGAATTAACATATTTTACAAGAGACCAAAATGTTTAGCTACATGATGAGACAATACAAATTCTACACGAGCATTGTGGCCTCCACAATCGAACGTCTCGTCAATTGGTTCATGTCGAACAGGAACAGAGTGAAATTTTCTATTGGATAGTACAATTTTCGTTAACAAGACATTCTTTGGAAGCGAGAAAATGGTCCCTTAATGTGGAAGAGCAACATGAATCCTACATCGGCACTATGTATATCAACTTTTACCTAACGATCAAAGTATGTTTCGTTAATGGATTGAGGTTCAAGAGGCATAGAATCAAATTGTCCATCGAATGAGACAAAGTTCATTAATAGGACATCATTCAGGAATGAGAAAATGCGGGTGTGGGTGTATTTGGAAGGATTGACTACGCTTACATCCACATTTACAAAAAAGTATCAACATATTAAATACAGACTCACTAATATCACTCGCTAAGACCGATGATATAGCTATGTATGCGCTGAAAAACGAAGATAAAACTCATGATAATAACTATCTTTATGAACTTAATTTATGAAAAGGAACCATATCTTGTTGATCAGGAGAAACCACTACATATACTTTGAAGGGTTCAACGAACAAGTTTTCTATTATGTTCCGCATTTTGTAACATGATCGAATTACATGAATGTTCGACTTGGATGAATTCTATTTCTATTGTGTGAGATTTATCCATTCTTTTCTTTTACTCTGCAGAAAAAAAAACTCCAGATGATGAAAAAGCTCTCTTCTTTATTTTTGTTCGTGACAGTTCGACAATTGAAAAGCTCGCAATAAGCATAAAAGTTAGATGATTCACTACAGAGTACAACTCCAACTATAGGATAGTTATAAACTCGTTTGTTATAGATAATAAATATCAATGAAAAAATTACATGCAATAAGAGGGTTCTGTTCTTGAACATATAAAGTATTTTTGGTAGTTCATATTCTAGAATAAACTCATAAAAGAGAAGAAAAAATTGAATAAGACGATTAAAAAAAAAGGTTAAATAGAAGTATTTGCTCCTATGAACACATCATTTTTATATCATTATCTGTATTTGTTGTATACAACGATAAGTGCAATATAATCATTAGCAAAATACACTGATAGCAAACAATAAAAAAGATAAAACTCTTATCTTTGTTTTTCATTGAACAATTCAATGTCGCAAAACTTCTTCGTCATTTTTCACAGTCACTCCTAAGTTAACATAGTTTTTCTTGTGTTTGATAAAATCTTCTTTTTGTCTTTATCAACACTCATATCATATCTTAACTTACCATACATGCATCAATACATGCCCTCTACGACACGAAAAAAACGGCTCTGTTCAAAATGTGACAAAGTAGGGGGCATATTTACTTGCTCTGGATATCAAAAAGATTTGTGTTATCGTCATGTACTTGAACAATAACAAGAATTTAATAAACAAATGGATGAACTCACTACTAATCAGGATCAATTTCAACAAATGATTACCGAACAAGAATCCCAACCAAATTGTCATCCTCTGATAAAAAAGATCAACGAGTGGACACAAGAGTCAATCGATAAAATTCATCGAGCAGATGAAGATGCTCGCAAACAATTATTGACTATTCTTTTCACACATAGAAGTAAAGTGACAAATGATTTAACATATTTTATTCAAGAATTAAGTAAAGCTCGTAACGAAGATGACTATATAGAAACAGATTTAGTGGAATGGATAGAAAGATTGAATAAGTTACAAAGAGATTTGAATGTAGTTCAAACGATTAGTTTCTGTACAGACAATAATGATAGTGCATTGATTTCGAAGATTTATATTAATGGAATTTCAACTGACTTTTTTTCACAAACCATTTGTGATATCCAAATTATAGAAGACGGTAAAGTCGTTATTCATGGTCAAACCAATCAAAATGCAGTAGCATGTGGTACAGGTGAATATTCATTTAGAGAACATTGATTTTATTTTAAAATTGAACAATTGTCTAATATGAATGGCTTTTCTTGTGGTATTTTATCAAAAACTGCGTCTTTACAATCACTCATGAATGTCTCTTGTAATAATAATAGGTTTAAGTACAAATATAGTAGTATTGGAGCTTATACTGTTCTCAACGAAAATGGACTTGTCTATTTTACTGATCTCAATAACAAGTATTTACGAAACTAAACTCTTGAGCTTCTCATCGATTGTGATCGGCGAATGATATATTTAACTAGTCAGACAACACAACAAAAAACAAAAACTTCATGTTAACTTAAGTAACCTATGGCGCGAAAGTCTTCGTACAAAATGTTCACTCGTTTTTCGGCCGCTTAGAAGCAATTGTTGAGAGCCAAAAGCAGGCAGTTAGAATCAGAATTTTGTGGTCGTTCCGAATATATTCTTAGAATTTTCTTTTGACGTAAGCTTGATCAATTATGAGAAAATTTTTCAAAGGGTCAAAAATGATGTGTGTACAAGGTTTTGTTTTATCCAATTTTCTATTTTCGACTAAAATCTACTTAATACAAAATGTGAAGCGGTTGTTTACAGTTCAGCTGTGTAGAGCACACTTTGTTGTACAAAATGTGCGGTTTATTTTCTGTTTTATCTTGCACGAAGGATTCCAGATATTTTGAACTAAAAAAAAACGATTTTCGAAAGATCGAGTTTTTGATCCGTAGTACTTAACATGGATAGTAGCTCTTCGGAAAAAATGCATAACTTTTGAGCGATTTGATATTTCACTTATTGTAATAGCTCATTTTGTAGAGAATTGAATGCTCCACAATAATGCCGAGCTAAAACTGTTACACAATACAAATTGTGCAAACTAAGAATTGTCCAAAACTCGCTATTTTTCCTTTGTACAAACATTATGTTGAATCCTTTCAAAAATTCTCTCACAGTTGACCAAACTTATGTTACAAGAAAATTCTGAAAATATATTCGGAAAGAGCACAAAATTCTGATTCTAACTGCCTGCATTTGGCTCTCAACAATTGCTTCTAAGTGGTCAAAAAACGAGTGAACAATTTGTACAAAGACTTTCGCGCAATAGGTTATATGTCCGTTTCCTAGGGAATTTTTCGTCACACTGTCGTATGCCAATAGTCGTGTTTGTATTTGCAAAGAAAAGTTGCTGATCAACATCTTCGGAGGTATAGACTTCTAATATTCATGTTTCATTATTTATAACAGTTCATTAGTTTGTTTTTGCTTCATTTTTATTGTGAAATAAACTTTTATGATACTTTTAAATATTGAACTACAATTTAGGTCATTATGTGAGTTTTGAAATAAAAAAATCATCTTTTGAAACAATGGAAAATTCTCTTCGAAACCGTAACAACATTTTAAAACTACTATAAAATTTTATTTCTCTTTTTCCGTATTTTCATAGTCTATCTAAGAATATAAATTTACTCTGTTTCAGTCGAAATAAAAAAAAAAATTGAACAAAACTTCAAGTTCAAAAAATATTGATTATCCATGATAACAAACAAAGAAATCAATAGTGTAGATTTTTGAAATGTATCCTCATAGACAAATCAATCGACAGTGGATTCTTTTTTTCAGATAAAGACATATCGAAGTATCATATACACTAATAATACGATAAAAATTTTAACGAAAACATTCTCTAGCTGAGATCTAGTTCTGCGCACGTTTCTATGTCTATCGTTAGAAAACAATGTCAAATGCAAGTGCTATATTGTGAACGGGAATCATATTCGTGTATTATCAAAAATGAATATTGGTAATTTTAAATTATATTTTCACATTATCGTATTGTGAAAAAAAACGCTATGTGTTGTTCTGACGGCGTGGAATACTACCGTTTTCCTTCTCCTTTTCCATTTACCTTGTCATTCGCTCTTGCTTAACTCTATATATAAACTTTAATAACTCGTTTGTTATTGTTGATTTTATTTTTATTTTTTTCTAATTTTAGCTAATCATCATTTATTTACTTATATAAACTATTTAGATAAGTATTCTAAACATTACATATTATAGAATATTGTGATTATACTTAGGGTGTACCAAAAGTTCTGATCACGGTGTTTAAAGGACCTTGTCGAATAAGGTAGCCTGTTCAAAAATAAGAAACAAATATCTTATGTTGTAAAGCTTTTTTAGACGCATCGAATGATATATAGTAAATCCAGTTTTCATAAAAATTTTGAAGGAACTCGAGTCAATTTACTGATAGAAGACTACACATCCACATTCATCTATACTTACATCAACCCAAATCCACATCCAAAAGATGATCGGAGATGCTACGTATATGAGGTTGTAGCCCGTCAAAAACTCTACAAAATCCTATGTGAGAAAAAATATTTTATAAATACTTTCAAGTAAAACCAAGAACCACAATAATCATTAACTTATCATACTTGACTATGGGTGCGGATATGGATGGATATGGATGTGTAGTCGTCTATCAATAAATTGACTCTAGTTCCTTCAAAGTTTTTCTGAAAACTGGATTTACTATATACCATTCTATGCACCTCAAAGAGCTCTACAACATAAGATATTCGTTTCTTATTTCTGAACAGGTTACTTTATCCAACAAGATCCTTTGAACGCCGTGATCAGAACTTTTGGTACACCATAAGTATATTTATTAAGTCATTCACAATAATTTCTGTGAAGGAAAAACACTAGTTTAAGTATCCAACTAGAGAAAAAAATTGAATCTAACGATTTATTTAGAGAATACTTCCTATTCCACGATGTTACACATTGCGGAACCAGTTCCGTCACCGGAATCGGTTCCATTCAATTCCCAGAGCTCGATCGTCATTGAACCTAAGAGGTCCACTCACTATTGATCGAGTTCCATCAATTCTGGTAACTCTGGAATTCAATCCAACTCCAGAATTGCGCGGAATTCCTGACCGGAATTAGGTCGCTCCCTCATCCTCATGCATATTGATGTGCTTAAAGATTAATCCATTTAATTAGTATCAAATTCCGATACGGAATTCCCAGAATTGAGTCAAGATGGAATTCCTACAGATTCTGGAATTCATGGGAACTCCTACCGATTCCGAAATTTCGGGAATCAAGTCGATAAGGAATTCCGGGAATCGATGAAACTCGATCAATGTCGAGTAGTCCCCTTATTTTGTATGATGATCGAGTTCCCGAAATTAGACGGAACTGGTTCCGCAATGTTCAACATTGCGAAATAGGATGACTGCTCTTTATATATAAGAAAAGAAATGTACACATTGAAAAACAATCAAACAAAAATGTTCGAATAGTTTACTTCTACGATTGTAATTATAATAGAAGTACAACACGATATTGTTTGAATTTGAAAAGAATCAATATAATATTGTCTGAGTCTATTTTATTCTATGCATTAACATTATATTATTCAATGTAGCATAGATCGTAAATATTTTATCTTATATATAAAAAAATTATTAAAGATTCTCCAGAAATACCTTTGTTTAGAGTAGGAGTTACATCTGTAGACACATTTCTAAATTGTCATAAGATACATCTATTGCAATCAGTAACACTTTCCTTTTACTGTTTGTTTTTCCTTTTTATTTAGATTTTTTCTCTTAACATACATACTTACTTTATCGAACACGAAAAAATCGGTATTGGAGCAAATGATAGAATGATGCAGCTCATGCAACTGAACAATAACTTTTTGTTTTGTCAAAATGAAGAAGATTCTCTTCGCTTAAATCTTGAAGATTGGTATTATCCTCAGAATCAATAATTATATTCTGTAGGTCATTAGATGCCTTTTAGGACAATGTATAGCTTGTATGCTGAAGTATATAAGACACTTTTATTTATTGAAAATTTAGACGGTTTATTAATGGGTTAGTATGTTTAACGAAATTAGAAGTAATGGGTATATATTATATGAAAACGCAGAATGTTAGTTAGATCACTACACAAAATAAATGAAAAATACTGATTATAAAATTAGTCTTCAGTTAAGTTTTTTGTTGTTTAGAATAATTTTCTTTCGATTGGGTCGTTGATTATGGTTTCAGTTTACATTTCTGTAAGCATGTTTTAATGGTCTGCGATAGGAAATCTGGCAGACCATTCACAAATGGTTGAACTTGCTTTGGAGGATTAATCCCCAATGATGCACCAACAACATCGGTTGGAAACTGTTGTATAAAAGCTACGGCAGTCAAAGAGCCGGGATCCTCGCTGCTGAATGCTGCTAACGACACGGATGGAGTACAACCCGTGTTTACTACAGCATGAACTGCTCCTTGTGGAAACACAGTCACTTGTCCTTCGTACAAAGTAGTGCTTACGGGGTTGGTACCACTTTCTAGCCAAAATACAGTTTTAACTGTACCTTTGATACCATACAACAATTGCGTTGCTCGCGGATGCGTATGGGGATCGAATAAACTGCATGGCTCCATATCTACAAGACTCATTGCAACACCAGCGTTAACAAGTGCAGGAAAATTACCAGCCTGAAAAAAAAAAATACTTAGTTTATGATGTGTTACTACCTGCGTAAAAGCGATATGGCATCTAACAATATTTCGACTAAAATTAATGCGGTAAACATTGTTTGTTACGATGTTAAGGTAACAACAGTCCAAGACAATAGCAGGATTGAATGGGAACAGAAAGGAGAAAAAGATAATCCTTCATGGAACTCGAATAACGCACTTTCTGCTTACCAAACAGATATACTACTATTATATTAGAAAGGACATTTTCTATTCCGTCTCATGACTCATCTTGTTCATATGGAGTATAATAGATGTTTAATGGAAAATCCTAGATTCTCTTTTTGTCTATCGGATCAGACATAGATCTCAACAAAAAAACAGCAATTCAATGTTCAAAGAAGGATACTACTAAATAGTTTCAATCAATATCATTTTTGATCCTATTTCTTAGCAAAACACAAGCTTTTGCTAGTATTTTGGCATCATTTCAGCTGTTGTAGACGAAAATTTCCA